GTGTGTGTGTGTGGGGTTAGAGAAATAAATACAGGTATTGTAATATCAACATTGCAAATTCTCGTGTGGAAGAGTTCGATTGTATACCTTTTAAGACGTATCCGTGCGTCCACGACCCCAGCAACAAACTTACAAGAACTGAGCAGCAGAAACTGTTCATGGTGAAGTTGAACTTCCGACTGCCATCGGCGTCGTGATACCAACGGGGATATAGCGCATTCTAGCTCTCACTGGCAATTCATCGCGAGGTCATGTGAAATGCACGCTTGAGAACTCGGCCTCTTAGATCAATGAATAACAATTCTTTTAATTTTTCAGTATTTCTTTTAATTTTCTTTTGATTTTCAGTATTGTATACAATTGGTTCTGTGGTACTCTTGTTTAAAATTACAAATTCACTTTCAAAAATAAATATTAGAGATATAAGATTCTGACTTTTTTTAAAAAAAAAGAAAGGGACATCTTTTTTCTAGACTAGTTTTCAATAATTTATTTTATTTCAACATTTCGACCTTTTTGAGTATTTTTCAAAAATTGTATCCATGGACCAGAATTGTAGAGACTTTGTTAAAAATTTAAAACCTGAAATTTATAATAGTCTTCCTCAATATGCACCTAGCAAACTTCACAAAGAAGTACAACATATATTCTTGTTAAAAATTTCAGAAATGCAAACACTTGCTACAGCAGTATAGGTTCTGACGCAAACAAAGAAATTTTGTACATTTGCCCAACACCGCCAGTGTAAGATGGCTTATCAACCAGGGGACATACGTGTCACAGTCATACGCGTAACTTCGTCATAGGAGATTTACCGCCACATGTTCATGGGCAAAAACTGAACATCTTCGATCTCTCTTCACGGCTTAGAAATTTACTGCATTTATTTTGAGACAATCTAAGTACCGTTGGCTTCAGGTAGCATGCTCTTTGTCATAATTCAACATATTCCAAAGAGCTGAGCTTAATATTTAAAAACTATACTTTCAAATAACGATATGTCCCATTACGACTGCACTCTATAAGATTCGGTTGTTTAAAAATAATTTCTTTATTCTCTAGAATGAAAATGAATGCTTTTTTACTGTTCCTGATGCAACTTGTATCGTCCGGAAAATGTATTAGATATCACACGATTGCCGTTCTGGCACAGAGCGTTGATATAATTATTCAACACTATACGTTGATACTTGGTTTGAGCTAAATGCCATGTGCATAGGCGTGTAATCCAAGGAGGCGGGGCACAAGAGCCATGCTATACCCTCAAAGCCAACAAAATTCACATCCTGAAAAAAACCGTACTTCTATATTTCAAGCTAATTTTTTTTTATTTCAAAAATATTTAAGAAAGGTCCGGACTGAAATCCCCCCATACATTCTGAATCCGCCCCTAATCATGTGTCTAGACATCAAAAGGTCTTCCTCCTAAACTAATGCATATTTTATGTTCGTATCAAAAGTTGTTTCCCATCTTTTTCGCAATTTTTTCAGGATGTTTCCCTTTTCTACTATTATGTAGTTTATAATGAAAATATTGGAAAACATTTAATAATTTCAACTTCCAAACTTACAACTTTGCAACAAAAACAGTCTTTCGATTTTCATTATAGATCATGTAATAAATGTTTTACTGCTTTTGGAAAACCTAAGCGAAAAACTAAATTTCCTTTGGATTTTTCCATAAATACCATTAATATTACGAAAGTTGTTAACCGCATGCAAAGATAAAGCATGAATAAACCACATTAGGCAATCAAATGTAATTTCACAAAATGTGCAGAAAACGCTCTCTGGCTCTCAGGTCGCAATTATCGAAGTCGAATTAAGCCACTGTTTGAAGGAGAATCCTATCGGCGTATGCGTCAGTAGTTTTCAGTACTTTTTTGTATCCTAACAAACAAGTAACGGACTTCACGTGATCTTTCCTTCCTCATCCATGTCCCTTCTTCTCCCTTTATACACACGCACACACACATTACCATCGTGTCGGCAGCCTACGTAAGCAAGCTGTTGCAGGTCGACAGCGGATCTCACGTTTCAGCGGAGGAGGAATCCCATCCCGTTCTGGCTGTACCATGCACCACACCCACGGGAATAAGGTAGGTCTAGTTGACGCATGTCAACGAAATGTCAAAAAAAGTACATCAGCAATAAACAATAACCAATGCTTATGGTGTACGTGTACAACTTGCAAGTTTCAACTAGTGCCAATTAACACAGGTTGTCACTCCTTATAAGGAGCCACGTGTGCCGCAGTGACAGACTTAGGCGGCGGGGGCGACGTCACAGGACAGAGACTAGCCTCCTGTGGTTGCTTTCATTGAGATGTATGAAGTTGGCGGAGTGAATTTTGAAAATCCTAAATATACTGAGAAGGAAATCGCCACAGAAAATGATGTTGAACAAATGAAATAAATCTTATCTAGAAAGTTCTAGTAGTTCCAAAGAAAGTCACTTACATATCTGTAATGGTAGTAGTGAATTACACATGAGCAATGTATTTTATTAGTTAACGTTACTTACATTGTAAAGTAATATAGTAATTTAGTGTAATAGAAGTATAATATTCATTGAACATATATTCTACAATTGAGTATCCAAAAAAAATTGAATGTGAAAAAATGTCCATTAGGCGCCAATAAATGGCAGCTGAGATGAGGTTGGGACAAATCTGAAAACACCGTTCAGGCTAAAGAGACAAGGAAACTATCTAGTAAGATAATGTCTGTGCCATTCTGTAACACAACTAGTTACTTACTGGAATAAGTACGTATATAAAGAGTAATATAGTAATATAGAGAAAGTCATGTAAAATTGCGGAAAATCGATTTTGTGCTTTCAGCGGAAGAACGTATTTTGGGGTCATCTGACAACAAAAAAGTGTTCTTGATAAAAAAAAAAACATGTTCGGCCGCCTGCGAACACTAGCCCTTAAACGAATAGTACAAGTAGTACAAGTTTTCTTGTTACAGTATTGTAACGTTTCTCGGTGGTGAAATAAAACACACGCACGCAGGTATTATTTAAACAACAACGTTTATTCGTAATCAATTATACACTAAAACTACTTGATCTATTTACAGGTATATTACACAGTCCTTGTGTTCTTCACTTTATTATTTTTCTCATACACGACTCAGTTCTCTTGATTCTTTATTTACACAGTTCTCTGCAATCTGATTATTTATTTACACCGATCACTTCTTCTACAGTATCATACAGTCCGCAGCACTGTCCACGGCCAATGCGCAGACCACAATTCCCTGCACCGACCACAATTCTCTGCGCACACCAGGGTCCACTGCACTGCTGTTTACCGCGACGCACACTTCACAGCTCAACTTCCATTGCAGACTTCAGACTGCTGACTGCACCACTGTTCCACTGCACCACTGCACCACTGTTCACCGCAATGCACACTTTACAGCACAGCTTCCACTTCAGACACATTGACGGACTGACTGCTTATTCACTGATTACGTACACTAACTTATCCGGGGCTGCTTACTTCCGACTACTACTTACACTGACACACACACACACACACACCGACTTACACTGACTGACTACTGACTGACTTGACTGCTACTGACTCGCGGCCACCAGCAGCGGCGCATTTATACCTGGCCGGCGCTCGTCTCGATACACCCGGCATTTTCTCCGCCTTTCCCCGCGACTCGCGAATAGTCCGGAACTGTCCAGTTCGGGGAGACGGGGTGGGATGACGCAATCCGCGCGCAGCGAATTCCGGCAGGTGATGCAATATTCGTTACAGTATCATGGATCTGGTATACTCCAACGGTTCGTGTTTTTTCGGTGTAAGATTTTTCCCCAAAATGAATATTCCCCACCAATCTGGCCCGACTTAAATCTCTACGATTTGGAAAAATATACTTTAAAATTTGAGAGTACTTTACGTGAAACTCCTGGGACATTTTCAAACTTTTCTCAAAAAAGGTTTCATTTTTTCTTTCATTTTTCATTCCACCCAAAGTTGAGAGATAGTAATGAGTAATGCTGCGCGAAAAAACGGCGAATTTTCGGAAGAAAAACTCTTATTACAGGGTCATGACACCGAAAAAGTGAATAAATCCAGTTGCTAAATTTAGAAAAAATCCTTTTATCACCTGGTGTCCAGAATTCATGTTTTTTAGTCATTGATACCGAAAATTCGAATGACGGCAAAACGTTTGTCTTTCTGTTTGACCTCTGTGAACAACGCTAGCGGCTAAACCGTTCTGCCGATTTTCTCCAAAATTGATATTCCCCAATCGATCTGGCTAATGTCGTCTCTTGAATTTGAAACCGATATTTTAATTTTAGAGGTTGCTTTAGGCTGGCTTACTTTAAGCCCTGGGACATTTTTCAAATTTTCAAAGAAATGGCCCTATCGTTTTTGATTAAATTCTGTTGTTGGATAGTGCGAAGGACATTGAAGAGAATGGTGCAAATCTAATTTTCGTTGTCAACTGATTTTTTGAGAATTGTAAAAGTCCAAAATATTTTCGGAGTCTCCACGCAAAATATTAAAGATAGGAATTTTTGCGTTCATGAGATACTTGAAGATAGATTTTGAATAAGGTCATATACAATTTTTCGAAAATTTGAATACTCTTTAACGTAACTTTGCGTAAAAATACCGGGGGGAGTATGTACTGTTTTAGCACCATTAGTTTTTGCAAGAATAGAGTCAATACACTTCTAGGGTTAAATCAGTCCGATTTTCAGTGTTAACGTTTTCTCAACAACGGCTCCAACCTTTGACTTTCTCGCACTTACTTCGTAAGAAGAGAAAGTTATATAATCGTGCGCTGGGAAACGGCGAATTTTCGGCAGAAAAACTGACATTGCCGGGCCCTGGGAACAAAAAGTGGATAAATCCTAATGCTACATATAGTAAATTACTTTCGCTAACATGTGTAGCCGGAATCCATGTTTTGTGGGTCCTTGATACCGAAAAATCGATTGACGGAAAACGTACCCGTCTGTGGTCACCGTTCAGCAGATTTTCTCCAAAATATATATTCCCTTCAAGTGATGGATTTTGGCTAAGACTGAAAACAAATATTGTTTTAAAATTAAACATTTATTTGTAAGTGTGGCCACGAGACACAAAGCTGTGCTCGTCCATTTCTCAGCTACCCTTGTCGGAACAACGTATATCCCACGCTACTCATGCGAGACTGTTTATTTATAACGGCACTGACTTTCACAACCCCGAGTG